TATACACTAATGTGTATAGGCCTGATGCATAATACTATTGGGAAAGAAGACATGAGGTGACGGAAAAGGGATAAACGGAAAATATTTGTTCAGAAAAAGATATAACTTAATTGCGATAAGGTTGTATCGACAAGGAAACTCGCAACTCTCTGTATTTTTTCCAATATCCCTTTGTTTTAAGTAGCATTGGCCGGTTTCAAGTGCATACACAACCGAGGGGGGTTTACTTGGAGTCATGTCCAGATATACAAAAGGATCCCAGGACAATTCCTACAAACTCTCATGGACTCTGAACTGTCCTCTTCAATCACCAATAAAAAGGGATTTCAAAAGAAACACAATTATTATTTACTACCCAATATGAAAAGAAACTGATTGTCTGAAAAAAGGGAGAAAAGGAATGGAAAGTTATCTGTGAAATGATAATTGGTACATGTTCAGATTAGGGTACTGGTTTGTTTGTAGGTAGGGTTTTTTGTGGTCTTTTTTAGAGGGGGGGGGAAGGGGCGAAACACGTTAAAGAAGACCTAAATGTGGACGCAGAAAGTCCTGAGTGAGGTAAAGTTTTACCACATTTGTCGAATTCCTAAACAACGAGGTCCGGGTCAAACCTTGAATTCGGTTAGAATACGAATACAGTTATATTGTTCTATTCACGACTGCGGACTTGCTACAAACCCATCCCAACTCCAACAAAATTCTCTCCCAGTCTGTCTTTCTCAATTGTTCCAATCTGCCACCAGACCGTGATGGGACATAAAATAGTAACATTGAGGCTGGTAAAAATTCTAGAGGTCTGCTGTGAGTCAGCGTCGAAAGCAAATTAGCCTTTTGCGTAGGAGGCTTCCAGGGGACAATTTGCTACGGGCTAAATCGAGGGCGTGCCATTTTGATTTTTCTGACGCGCAAATTCCAAGACAGATTGAAAGAAGAGAACCAAGCTAAATGACTTGCTTTGGAATTTGCAGCGAGTGGACACAACAGTGGCCGTGTTTCACAACTAATATATACATGAAGAGTTACTTTTGCGATTGGGATGTTGTGACTCGTTTAAAGCAATACGTACTGGCGTCGTTGTGTAGCAGTTAAGCGCGTCACTGTCGATCGTACTCTCGGGACTCGAGGTCATTGCGTATCTTGGTCTTTCTGCTGGGATGCTCAGCCCGGGTTGGCCTTGACTGACAGGCCACCTCCTAAATGATCCTCGTTGTGTCGATGGGAGCGTAATACAACGATATAAAAAAAACAATAATCTAAAAAGCGGACCTTTAATTCAAAGTGTAAATCCTGAAAATCTGAAGTTGCCATTGATATTTAAAAGAGATAATTGATTCGAAGCAGTTACATGAGAATTTAACAAAAATCAAACTATCTGAGTACAAGTATGGCCTATAGTGGACTCAGATATTGGTCTAGCATGCCATCGACTCAGCTATCCGAATATAGAACTGATAATGGTGGCAAACGATAGTAGCAGAACCCCC